CTTACTCAGTATAAAAGCCTAGCACTGACTTAGGAGAACTTTAGTCACAGTGCAGGCAGGCTACATCTCCAGACAAAAGACCACACAGGATTGAGCTTTACAAAGCATCTGAGCCTTTCCGATGTCACACAGCCCTCTGCCTGTCTGAAAAGGATATTTACTGAGCTCTACAAGTCAACTTTCCTGGACAGAACTTTCCTCCAACACTTTACAAAATTACACAAGGAAACCAAAAACTGTCTGCAACCACCAGATCTGATACCCAGCTCCATCAGCCAGCTGTGCCCTCTCTTTATTGAAGTAATTGGCTTGACATTTGCCCTGCCTGGTGCTGTTAGTACCAATTCCATCTGCCGTGTGTCCTCTTCTACCTCGTCCTGGTGGGTGAATACCCTCGTGGGCTTCATCTATCCCTGTTCTCTTGAAGGCAGGAACTCAGTTGTGACTTTTATTCCATAACTGGACTTTTGTTTCATCCCGGATTGAGTCGCTAAGGGGTATAAGATGACAGCAAGGATGCTTTTAGCTTTGGTCCTGATGGGAATGCTCTCCGTGCCAGGGGTGAGTATGCAAAGAAGTAATTTGCGACTTGGTGACTCTATTTGCAACTTTCCTTTGTATAAAATGGGGTAAGGGTCCTTTATACATATCACTGAGTTATCTAGGGCAGGGGGAATCTCCTGTATATATACTATAGCAGCAGTGAAGTGAACTTGATATTGTTCATTAATTAGTTACTTTGCTTGAACTGTTACAGGGACATTGCCCTTATGTAATAAAGTAAATAATAATGTGTAAAGAGCACAATCCCCATAGCAATTACAGATCATCTCTTGGCCATTGTTCTCTTGGCTCCAAACTGAGGAGCAAAACTCTAGTTGCTATGAGTTACTGCCTGCATTTTACTGCTGCACACCTCCCTCCCCAAAGATTAATATACTTCAATAAATAATAATCCATACCCTGCAGTGGGGTTTACTTTATATTTTCTAAATTAGTGTACTTTATGTTATTATCTGATCAATCTTAAGTACTGTATATGCAGATTAAAAAAAGGATAATGTTGCACTCATTGTGCTGTACCCCTAACAAGGTGCAAATTCCATGTTGGGGGCATTTTCTGTTCTGCACAAGTTGTCTTTGAACAAAGATACACAGTCCCATAGGACTTTTTATTCAACAGGACAAAAAATGCACTAAGTGTAATGGTAGCCCAGAGCGACCAGTCATTTTCCACTGTGTTGGCTGCTTTCAACCAGTCAAATCTTACTGGTTGGTTTGGGTTACTGTTATTGGGTTTTACCATTGTTCTCGGCACTGCCATATAATATAAGCTCATGTGAATTGCAAGATAACTAACTGAATGTTTTTGTTGTTATTGGTGTATCTATAATGAGTCCAATTTTTGTCTCCCCAGGTCCACCCAGCTGGTATGTTTGAGCTGAAGGTCCACTCATTCAACAGCCCCCGTGGGGTATGTGTGGCTGGTCGCTCCTGCCGCATCTTCTTCAGACTGTGTTTGAAGCATGCTCAGCCTGTGGTGTCGCCAGATCCACCCTGCACATTTGGGACTGCTCTCAGTGACCTTATGGCCATGGATCCAGAAGCCATATCATCCAGCACCCCCATACGTATCCCCTTTCACTTCAAATGGCCAGTAAGTCAGAATCTTGTTCATTTGACTGATAGAGATGACAGTTTGTTGACTCAAGAGTAAGGCAGAACTTAAAAGCTAGAACCAGCTTGATACCACAACTGCTAGAGATTATTTTCCTAATTAAGTGGGCAAATTGAAACTCCCACAAATAGCAGTAAAAAGATTTTGTGAGGACCAGATCATGACCTAACTGCCCATTGGTACATTAAGATCTCAGCAGACACCCATGGCCAGGAAAAATCTCATGGGAAAATGCTACTGGCCAGGCTAGATGCCAGAGATGTACACTTTCGTTCCCAATAGATTTTTCCGTTGTCAGTTTTTATTCTAGAGGGTTATTTGAGCTATAGTATGATCATGAATAAGAAAGCTATTCATTGGGGTAGAACATTTGGTCCTGCTGGCGCTGGTAGACTGAGGCCTGATGAGAAGCCTGTAATTCAAATGTAATTGTTCCGGAATGGTTTCATAGGAATAGCTATTTCACCAACATAAATCCTAAAAAAAGTGACCATTAAACATATTCCTGGCTCCTTATAGTTATTATGTGAATTAGGCTTTTAATAATTGTAAGCTTAATAGCCTTGAAGGCTTCCCACTGCCTTTGTTCACCTAGAACCATCAACTAATACTGCTTAGGTAAAATACACAGTTTCTTTGTAGCACCATCTAGTGTTGTGGACTATAGAACTATTGTCTAGCACCCTCTAGTTGTATCTCAAGTCATAGTATCCTTGCTGTAAAGAACCCCAACTATAGCTTTCCTATTGTCCTATAATCCTTATCAGTGCCCTCTAGAGGAGTCTTCTTGTGCCATAGAACCCCATAGTTGATAGTACTCCTGTTAAAGGTAATTTCTTTGTCAGCACCCTCTGGTGGTCTTACCCTATGCCACATGCTCTTTGTCTGCCAACATAGGGAAGCACCACCAGAGGGGTGATGATGCTTCCCTATGCCACATGTTCTTTGTCTGCCAGCATCCTTCTGATTATAGCTTCTCTGGTTATAGAACCTTTGTCTTTCAGTGGTCCCATCTCCGGCCACAAACATCTGCCTACCAGGAACCCTCTGGATAGGGATCTCCATGTACTGTGTCTTTGTCTACCAGCACCCTCTGGTGGTAGCTCAATATATTACACACATCCCCTAGTCTTCATGACCTATTATTCTTATGTTATGAAATCTACCAGCGCCCTTTTATGTTGGCTGGCTTTGCAATGTTGACTTTGTTAAAAGGAAGGAACCCCCCTGACAAAGGCATGCAGGACCTTCTCCTTTTGTTTTAAACCTTGTGTTTATTCTGTAACTCATGTTTTAAGGCTTTGAACTATCAATAGCCTTCCTGTGTTTTTTAATTTGTCCTTTTTCTCATTTCATAAACATTTGTTTTCCATGTAGCGCCCTTTAGTGATATAGTTGTATTTTTTTCAAGTCATAAGATTATATTCAGAGTTTTCCTTGGGATACCAGACTATATGTATGAATCATCTGCCAATCAGAATTTAGCTATACATTAGCCACATTAGGTAGGAGCCTAGAGGAACATGGTCGGAGGAAATGGGCTGGTGTATACACTTTTTTAGAACTGTATTTGTGTTTTTTCTTTATATAGTTATAGTTATATAGTTGTATTTTTTCCAAGCCATACTATTATATTTAGAGTTTTCCTTGGGTTTCCAGACTATATGCATGAATCATATGCAAATCAGAATTTAGCTATAGAGCCACATTAGGTAGGAGTAGAGGAACATGGTCTGAGGAAAAGAGCTGGTGTATACACTTTTTTAGAATTGTATTTGTGTTTTTTCTTTAGAAAGTTTTTATTTTACATTATTTTCTATAATCAAAATAGAAACCAGGTCACATTGTTCATTACCTTGCAATCCAGACCCTGATAAATTTATTAGAAACACGTTTATCTAAAAAGTAAGTTGCGATGTGTCCAATCACTCTTCATTTCAAATATGATCCCCTGCAACTAAAAAGATCCCTTTGCTATACCTGAATTTCAGGACATAAACACAAATACCGTTTTCTTAGTACATTCTGAGAGATGTCCCAGCACCTGTAACGTAAGAACCTAAGAAAGTTATGCAAGTTGAATGAAGTGGTCAGTAGCCCAGGGCCAAAAAGTAACAATGTATAATAGGGATGTACAAATACCAGTCTAGATAAAAGTGCAGATACTTGGCATTTTCATGAGAACTACCAGGTTTGCAGCGGTTTCAGCTGGGACCTAGCTCTGGTGCGCCTCCACTGTCCTGAAATCATTAGTCTGTATTGTTTTAGAAAAACTGTCACATGACAATAAACAAAAATGTATCAGTACTTGTATCTGTGAGTACTTGGGCAAGTATCAGTACTTGTACTTGTACAAATGGTATAGGTGCCTATATTTATATAAAATAAATCTTACATTAAATCAGGGATGCGGAAACCCAAGGAGCTCCGTGTGCTCCTTACAAATGACAGCTGCCTCCTAACTTTTGAATTTTTCTCTAGTCTAGTGTTGGAGCTCGAAAAGTATCTGTACTTGTACTTGTACCGGGTACGGTACTTGTTATCTGAACATCCCTAATTTATAATTGTTCTGACTAATGTAAGGTGATTATTGACGATATTAGATTGGTCATCAACACCCTTTGAACAGCAGAATATCATTCAACCTTTCTAAAGCAATATTTACCTGAGTAGTATTATTGTAAAGAGAACTTATTTTAGCAGGGGCGTAACTCTGTCCTGGGCTCTATAGCGGCCGCAAGGTGGTAGTTCTGGGGTGCTTGGGGGTGGAGATGGACCTTTTAATATCAGAATAATACTCTACTGGAAATAAAAGTTTCTTACTTCCTATTCTTTGCTTATACACTTTCTACACGGGTGCAGTTGGGGGTATAGGATCAAGCTGCATTGTATGCAATGGCTAGCAATTGTCCCAAACCAAGATGCAGTGTGATACAACGTCAGTGACTCCCAGTATAAAAACATTACTAGCTCCAAGTTCTCTTTTTTTATTTTCTAACATTATACAAACTAGCAGATGGTATTCATTTGCACAGAGGGCATACATTTCTTCTCATTCACTGACAAATACATCTAGATGTTGATCACAAGCCGTACTTTACATTTGCTGCCATGTTCGTATTTCTTAGGGCCTCATCACATCTAGTGCAGTAAGCGGCGTTGATCTGTGTTTAGATGTTTGAAACCGGAAAACCATTAGGCGGGAATGGTCTATGGCTGTTGAATTTTAAATGCCTCCAAAATTCTACAAAATTGCCAGCACTGGGACTCAGCTACACTTTAGACATTCACCAGTTGTGACCTTGCTTTGGTTTAACCCCTTGTTAACATTCATTTTATTTCAAGTACAGCAACTGTCAACAGGAAGCTCAATGTCATGCTTGAAAGCTATTAACATTCACGTGTAGCCATAGCCAAACAATCATCATGTAAAAATGTAAACACTAAGAAGTTTGTTTTTTTACAGCCACCGAGATGATTTAAAAATCTGTCTTATAGTTTGAATGTGGCTGGCGATACAATAGGCAGAAAGTTACCACCAGATGTGCTCTAGGAAGTATGTTCCCAGTACCCCTTTTAGGCCCCATTCTCACATTAGCGGAACTGCGCAAAACAGAAAAACTATTATATTTCATTATACCTTGTTCACACCTGTGCGATGTCCGCACGGCATTAAAAAAAGTCCAAGCGCGATATTCTGGGCGGATGCCTTGCGTTTCGGCTGTAGTATATACAGGAGAATCCTACCGCACTCCTTACTGGTATGTCCCTTGCGGTGGGTGCTGTAGTGACTGCGGATGGCCCTGCTTCAGATTCAAGTAGTAAAATATATCGCCAGCACACCCTGGTCAAATCTTTAGAAACTGATCATTTTATTGATACACACATCTTGTCAATAGCAACGTTTCGGGGCCCCTCGGGGTCCCTTCCTCCTGCCTGAGTGGCCCCGAAACGTTGCTATTGACAAGATGTGTGTATCAATAAAATGATCCGCTATAGTAGTAGCCGCAAAGGTGCAGAATCTGCGCGTATGTTAAAATGCGGATGTTTTTGTGCCACACGGACGAACGCGCGTAAAGCTGTGCTTATTTTTAAACCGCTATGTGTGAATGGAGCTTTAAGAGGTTTGTAGATTCTGGCTCAAGAGCATTACATAAGGCCAGGTGCACACCTGGGCCATCCCGGGATGCGCATCCCGAGACCGTGCGTTCGTGTGCGGTTGCACACAGCATTTGCTGCGAAGCCCCATTGATCATCAATAGGGTTACACCCGCGCAGCAATAACTGAAAAAAGGTACCTTTTTTCGTGACGTGCTTTTTTTCAGGTCCACAATTGCATGGGCGGAATCTCGGTGGGAAACCGCGCAATCTGAGTCTAAAACTCATCCAAAATATAATTCCATTAACAGTAACAAACTTACTGGACAAAGGATCGCTCACACTGGCAAAAATATACAGACAATGGCGCCAAATATTATCAGCATCATTATGCTTGCAGATTCAGGAAATTCTAATGTGTAGAGAATTATTATATAAATTATTTTCGGATGGAAAATAAACAGTAAAATACTGTGAGCCCAAGACAAATGTAAAAAAAAAAATTCCATCTGTACATAATATTTTTTTCAGGCATGGTCAACTGTCATTAGCTAATTATTCTAATGACAAGAACAAAGATGTAGAGAGTTGTATAACAGAGTAGAGGAAAAGGTGGAAGATTATTTTCCATTCATGCTCCACGCACGGTGAGGTGATTGCTCAGTTCTGCATATTTCATATAGTGCGACACTCTTGTCCCATTACTAAGTTTGTAGTCTAACTTGTTGAATTGGTAATTCAAAGATTTACTGAGCCTAGTCAGCTTTGGGGATAAAAGCAAAAGAGGACAGATGGGGAAGTGACAAGAGCATGATTTTGGTTGGTGATGCACCTACACCGAGACCTAGTTTTTTCCACTGAGTCTGTCCTGCTTCACTCCAACACATATCCAGCTGTTGACTTTTCTCTGAATCGTGTACAATTGTCTTTCTTTGTTTTACCAAAAGCCTGCACAATAAACAATAAACCTCTCATTTTATCACAGGGGATTTTCTCGCTTATTATCGAGTCCTGGAGCGCGCACACAGCGGAGAAGTCAACAGGTGAGTTTGGTTTCATCTACTCATTGATAAGTGGGCATCTCTAAAATCCAGACATTTCTTAAGTCAGAGATTTCATAGAGAAAAGGTGTAACAAAACCAAAAAAAGTTACTCTATTTTAAAAGCAAACAGTGTTGCTGTAAATAAATAGAAAAAAGGGCCTTTATTTTATCTGTAAATAACTTTCCCTTTCCATGCTTTGTAATAAACGGAAAAAAAATCATTTTATTGTAATTATAAATATAACACAATGTTTAACTTTTTCAATTATGCACTTTTTCCTGAACAATACTGGGCACAAAACAAATTAAAAAGTTTAAATGTTTAAATAATAATGATTAGAAAAATACATATAACAATAAAATTAGTAGCAAAATAATAGTTAGGGGAGAAGGGGAGGAAGCAGGTAATTAGGGATGATTAGAACTTATTAACAGGGTTAACTAAGAAGTTTCATAGGAACCCAGTTTATCTAATTTTTCTTTCTTTAAACTTGCATGTTTGCTGTAACTAACATGCTGCCCATTGTAACTCTTACTGACAATGCAGACACTGTTTTGCAAGTGTCTAAATTACACAGGAGAAGCAAGAGCTGATCCCACCATAGGAAACAAGTCCTGGCTGTCATTTTGACAGCCAGGATTTACTGGTAGATGGAGCCAGTGAGGAAGGGGGACATAACATATGCCCATTTAGATTACGTTTTTCAGGGTATGTGCGGTGTGCCAAAGGTCCACAAATGGTTAGTTAAACGTTACGCTATTTTCGCCTATATATACTGCTAGCAAGCAGTTAATAGATGCAAAAACATTAAAAAAATAAAAAAGTTACCAAAAAGGTAATTACTTACCTTTGTAACCGCCGCTCGCTCCCCTCTGAGGATCTGGAGCTTCTCCAGCGGCCAAGCGGGATGATGGGGCGGGCGCCTGCGCAGTAGAGATCTACGGCAGGCAGAAGAGAAGAGACACAGCAGAAGTGAATGCACGCAGCCGTGAGCATGCATGTCGGACAGGCACCGTGGGAACCGATGAGTCTGCGCTGGTTTAGAGACCAACACCAGCACTGGAGGGACTTCTCAATTCAAGTGGAAGGAAGAAGATGATTGGATCAAGAGGCATCATTTAAGGCAAGTCCTTAAAGCAGCATGGGGGGGGGGGGGGTGTGACTTTAATGTCACTTTAAGATACAATAATGGTGGCTGCTGTCACAATCAGCTGCTGTCACTGTTTGGGTATTCTGACAGCAGCTCACCCAATCCCCATCAGAATACAATAGCCTGGCAGGAGATTCGTCCATCCATGCTGTTTTGCATGGATGGAGCAATCTATTATTTTTTTTTCAGTCAGCCCGCAGGTTGAAGGAAAAGATATAACAGTATATGGCCAGCTTTAGACTCTCTGCTCTCAGTCATATAACAGACCAGGTCAGACTCACCCCCTCCCTTACTTTGCAATACAACTGGCAGTTACCAGAGATGTGGCTATTACCATCTCAGCCAGCACAGAGTACTGCAGTGGGAAAGGAGGAAGCTTTTCACGGAGAGAAAGCTAATTTAAGGCATTAAATTGAAGTAACAAATTATAACGCAGTACAGGACTTAAGGAATAAAAAGGTGAGAAACTTCAACTGGTCATTTACTTCCCAGCATCTTCCTCTATTCTAGAGAAGATTTTAATGTTGAGACTGCGGCCCAAGGGGTTGAAATGATTTGGAATTGTTTTTTTAACCGTATTTATGCTCCCACTGGGGCTGTGAGTGCTTCTCCCCAATTTACCACTTTTAATCTCCAACGCAAAGTGGCAAAGTGGTTAGCTCACTTGCCTTGCAGCTATGATGTCATATCCCACTTGGGACACTAAGACCATTTGTTTCTATGTTCTCCACACACTTCCATGGGTTTCTTGCCACAAATATCTCAGTAGGTTAATTGACACGTGACCAAATTGTGCTTATTGTATATGAGGTTTGACACTAGATTATAGGCTTCTTCAGGGGCAGTGATTAATGAATACTGTTTTATGTACTGTGGCATTGTGAGGCAATACCACGGTTACAGTACTCATTCATAATATGTTGGTGCTATTTGAGTACATGTTAAACCCCTTATCCCCCACGGGGAATTAGCAAGTTATCCACTGTTCCACTTTAATAGTACCTTTATAAAATTGAACTGATAATTTACTGGAGACAGATGAGAAATAGGAATAGAGCGGCAAAAACTAACGTAAAGCCTGGTAGAACTGGGGTCATAAAAAGGATGAACTCTATTTCAAGAAGACATGTCCTCCTGCCTGGTCCCATTTCTGGAGCCATCTTCTAAGCTAATAGGTCAATTCCATACATTGAGGTCATAATGGGATGAAATGATCAGATCTGTGACCATTTGGCCTTGAAAAGTGCCAAATGACTAGATTACAGATAGGATTGCTGGAAAATCAATAGGAAGCCTTTTTATCCATTACAGCTGTTATTCTTTACTCAAAATGCTGTTTAATATGCCCATGGCTCAATAAAACGTGCATGTCTCTAGGATCTGGGAAAACCTGAGAGATTAGCAAGATGAAGGGAAATAGCTTTAGTGCAATAGTATCCAATTTACAATCATTGTCTCATTTAATAATATATATGCAAACCAAACATGTTTTATATGTATATATATTGTACAGTCTTCATGTTTCCTTTGTATCTATATTTTGTTTCTCTGCTATCGTTTCTCCAGATTTCTTTGGTTCATTCTTAAGTAATTTGTTCTCAAACTAATAATTTTTTTTCACAGTAGTGTTATTATATTATTGTATACTCCTAAACCAATACATTCTATAATACTGCCTTCACAGTAAAAACTCTCTAGACCATACACCCCCTCTTCCTTCTAGGCTAACCCCCACTTATCAGACTACCCCTTGTCCAGGAGTGCCCTTAATGGCCAATGATGCCAGAAGTCAGGGAAATATCCTAAGTACGGCACTTTAGGTGGCTCCATCGTTCGAGAACTAGCAAGAGGGATTTGAAAAGTGTGTGGAGAGCACTGATTAAAACTGTTGAGGGTTTATGGATTGCGGACATGGAGATTATATTAGATGTAAATTTAACTTGTGGGTTGTAGTTCTATGGGTAATCTAACCCTTAGATTGATTGTTATACTCTTTCCCACAACTGAACACTAAAACTTAGTCTAACTCATCCATTTACCCTTTATAAAAAGTACAGTTATCCTTTATGCCACACATATCTTGACCTTGACTCTTAATCCTCACCATAACTGTATCCTAAACCCAATAACAAACCCCAAAATCCTAACATTAATACCATCCTCTGATCCTAACTGTAACAATAGAAGCCATGGTCTGCACTGGTGATGACCAAAGAACCTGAAACAGTTGTATGCAGTTTGAGGTAAATGGCTCTATAATATTAAGCTCTATTAGCACAATATACCAGCTACTAAGGAAGGAATGCACCAATGCCGATACTGAGTATTTGGGCGAGTACTCATACTCGCCCAAATGATCCGATACTTACCCGCGATACTCGAACTTCCGGTCAGAGGGAGATTTCCTCTGACTGGCAGTGCCGCAAGGGAACATGGAGCTGGCTTCCCAGCCACTCAGAAAGCCGGGCGGCGGATAGCGACCTGCCGCCCGGCTTCCTGATTGGCCGGCAAGCCGGCTACATGCTAGCAGAAGTACCAGTATCGGTACTTGGCATCGGCGAGCACCAAAAGATACTCATATTTGATACCGAAAAACTGGTATCGGTGCATCCCTATTGATTACTTTAGTGCCTTCTCATTAAAACCTGTATGCTGTACTGTCTGCATGAACATACATACCTGTGTGTTCATAAACAGAGAATGTCTAGTCATTCCAGGCACCTGCCTTTTCTCAGGGAAACAATAGTGATCAAGTTGGGAAAGGGCATCTCAGCTAACTGACCATTGCCCTGAGAGTGACTGGCCAGGGACATCGTCTGTTACCCATAGGCTGGACTCCTTATAAGAACAGCCCAATGGCTACTCTAGTTTAGAGAACAGGAGTTGGCCCTTGCCAATGGGTAATTTGGGCTAAGAGAAAATGTTCTCTTTAATGGATTATGTTGTAAACATTTTTTATTTGATCCCCTCATGGGTTTATTTTGAAGGTGTCTTTTACTTTGCTCAATGGACTCAGGACTTTCAGAAATAAGGAGCTACAGTATATGACTACAGGTTCTAGCTATTGAAATTCGGCCCTGTTAAAGAGATATCCGCTTTTGAACCATTTCAAAAAACTAAAAATTAAATATTGGCTTACCTACAAGGAGCACAGTCTACCTGGTCTGTACTTTGAGTTTTATTTCAGTGCTGCAGTGTATCACTCTCTTTTCTGAGTAATCTGGTGATCTGGGAAACGCCGCTTGCATTCCCAAACACCCAAATGCTGTCTCACATACCAAAAGACTGACGTTTCTTGAAGTCACCAATTAGATTCAAAGCTACTTTGGAAGTTTGATTGTAATTGGTGATAGGGGAAGCAGAGAGATAAAGTTTACATTGCTCAGGCTTCAGGAAGTACATTGCCAGTGACCCTGTGAGGTGCCATCTGGATCCTGGTTGCACTGAATTACAGAGACTAGTAGTATTAAGATGCAGTTTAAGATAAAACTATATCTAACCAAAACCATCCCGGTCTGTTTGGGTTAATAAAATTTTTATGGCTTGCAATGAGCAAATCATATCAGGCATACCCAGAACCAACTGAAACTACTTTCAACTCAAGTTCAGAGCCTGGGAAGGGAGATAGCAAGCTTAATATATACTCATCTCTGTTTGTTCACAGTATTTACTGTAGAATCAATAAAAATACAATCTTGGTATATATACTGCAGCTAACTAGATACATGTGAATGTTTCCGGGGCTCAGGATATCTGATATAAAACTGGCTTGTGATAAGTTCTTTTGCTATGCACGGCTGACTTCCTGCCCAGAAATCTCCTTGCAGGCAGTTCTCTGCACTAGGAAATTTCTGATATATTAGTTTAAACACATTTACACTGAAGATAATAAGTTAATTTGACATCATTTCAGCTCTGCCAGGGAATAGCCATATCAGACTCCAATGATCTATTGCATTTCATTTGCTGTACATTACACATCAGGCCGCTTGATAAAAAACATTTTCAAACCATATTTTCATAGCTCCCTCAATTCTAGGAAGCCTGGTGGACTTCAAATGCACCATTGTTAATTACTGAGGAACAAATATAGTTAATTTCTGAGGAAATAAAATAATCATAGAAACCTGCTGACCATCTGGTTTTAGGGAAAAAAACAATTGGCCATGTTATATTTTACTACCCAGACCCGCACAGGAAGGGGACCTCTCCCCTTGATATCACTGCAGATTAATCTTACCCACTGACCCAAGCCATGTAAGGAGACAAGCAAGGAACAAAAATGGAGATCACATGACCTTCAGAACAAGGAAAATAAATGTAGTTCAACATTATTTTTAACGCATTTGTAGTGATGTGCCGTACACTATTAAGATCAGACTATATCTGGGTGTACATACACTTTAGGGTTAGATGTAGGGTAGCAGGAGCAAAGGTGTGGCGAGCGGGTATAGAGAGGAAGACGTCACTATGGGGTCCACAGTTTAGCCCTAATAATGATTAACAAAGGCTTTTCTCTCACCTCTTCATTGCACCAATTAAAAGGGCTTCATTAGGTTTTGCCAGTTAGAAGACTCTTTGATGCATATAACTTAGTAATAGATATTAATCTGCAGCAATTGTGTATAATGGAGGGCATTGGAACAAATGTCAGGAACTTTGGCTGGTTGGTCCTCAGCATAAATAATATGACAACATGACAAGGAAAGTAAGTGTAAAAGCTGCTGGTGAACGCATACATTGAATGTATTTGGGAAGACTAAAGTTTTAAGTATGTTTCTTAAAGTAAAGTCAGTTGGGACTGGTATTTATGTATCAAAATAGAGATTTTCCAGTATTGCCCCCAGCAACAAATCATATTAAAATACACCAATAAGGGACCATTAGGAAAAGAAAGTTTGAATCTGAGTTTTGGATGTGAATTTGTATTGACAATTCCTTAGGATCACATATAGATGCATTGTGATACCACAAACAGTATTAGCCTGCTGCAGAGTGCAGTAGCCAATCAGAATTGACGTTTCTTTTAATCTAACTGCGGGAAGGTTAAATCTGATTGTTTGCTATGTGTTACTGTGTTTTGTTCAGTTTGTATATTGTTTCCATGGATTCTGTTTATAACCCTTAGCATACCCCTTAAAATCAACTTCCTATCCCAATCCAGAAACTCTGAACCCTTAGCCACCATTGACCTAGTTAACCAGATGTAAAATGTCATCCTCCTACTGTCTTTTTCTATTGTAGGTTTGAATGATATTGGTGGCTGTGGGACAACACTGAAGTGTAAAAATATGTTTAATTCTACGGAACAAATAATTTAGTAGCACCATTTTTTTATTTGAAGACACGTCTTCATATTGTGGTGATACATCTGTTGTTTTATTCATTGTGTTACAGAAAGTATAGGGGAACAGTACACATGATGGATGCAGCATTATGGTGCTGCATTCGGTATGCAAGAAAAGCTTGGAGATGCAGTATTTATGATAAGTTGATGTCATGTTTCCATCCTGGTTCCATTCCATTCTGTCAGATAAACTTTACAATGCAGTACTATATTCATTGTGGTCACGCCAGTCTGAATGATTGTTTCTAGTACCCAGCCCACAGAATAGCACCAGGATCCTCTAAGTCCTGCTATAAGGTCAGAGGTTTATAAATGGGTGCCAAAATCTTGACTTTTCTGCTACTGATCACTGCTAAAGAACAACACAGACTGTTTGAGACATTTTTTTACTCATTTTGAGAAATGAGAGCTGGTGTAGGAGGGCATAATAAATCAGGAAGACATGCTCGGCTATAATGAGACATCACTGAGGTCTCTTTTGATGTAGCACCCATATATAGAATATTCAATGGTTAGGCAGAATGGCTCTTCAGTTTTGGCAGGGCTGGATTTTATCTCTCCGCTGCCCCAAGGCCAGGTTCCTCAATGCGCTCCCTACCTGCCAACCCCCCCCC